CAAGGAGTATTATATGTAAAGCGTTTTACAACACGTAAAAAACAGGAAACCATTTCAACAAACACTTATCTGTTTTCATTTTCTTCTCCAACTGCTCCCAGATCACTAAAGACAGGGTACTGTAACATTAATGTCGACACCTACATACCAAACCCACTGAGATGTTTTAAATGCCAAAGTTTGGTCATGGTGTTAGTACTTGCACAATGTCTGTTGTGTGTGCTCACTGTAATGAGAAGACACATACAACAATAGATTGTTAAATGAATTTTGATATATGTTTTGTAAATAGATAAAGTTTTATAATTGGTAGTTCAGATTATCAACTTAGATTGTTAGTGGCTGTATCCTCAAAGGGGGTTGAAGTAGCGTAAAATTATTTTCCTCCTAAGAGGGTACGTAGGACCCAAAACTTTCAAAATATTATTTAAACATACCCATCTTTTTAAACGTAGCATTATTGTTATTTTAATCCTCGGCTAAATTTTCCTACAATCGCCAGTGGCTGAGGGGATGGTGTAAATCAGCTAGGGTCCATGCAGGTAGCAAAGGCACTGTAAGTCCCCATGGTCCCTAGTATGGTGATCTACTTTCAGTTGTCGGCGATCTATAGCCCATTTTTCCACTGTCCGGAATTTTTTCTACTTTTAAAGATATATGCTAGCTAGTTTTAACTCAATCTGTAATAATCTAGTGGAATTACTGTCCTTCGTTGACAGGGTTTTTAAATATTATATGCATGTATTATGAATTTAGAACTAGTTTGAGTCACGATATGGCTGAAATATTGCCGATGTCACTTTAAAATCTTAACTCACTCACTCACAACCCAGAAGGGGCAAGCGCTGAAACGCCTGAAAATGGCTGTCAAATACAGATTGTACAACACAACATTTTGTTTTCGAGTTGTTTTACTAACACGATATGCGATAGTGTCATCGCTTGATAGATATATCTAATAATTTCAGATTTACAAAACTTCTTCAAGTAAAAGTAGGCTAGTTGAGATAGGGTAATTTAAACTCTCCACCTTTATAATTAGAATATGTGTATTTTTAATGTATGGCTAGATTTGTCTAAATTGATAACAGCTGAAGGGATGATGTAAATCCAGCTAGGGCCTATGCAGGAAGCAAGTGTACTGTAAGTCCCCATAACCCCTAGTATGGTGATCTACCTTAAGTTGTTGGGGATCTATAGCCCGTATTTATAGTGTATTGTCATTATAGTTAAAATATTTTCGATTGAATTACTAGTCTGAAATTTATTGCCGTGATAATCTAGTATTATTACTGTCCTTCGATGGCAGGTTTTTACGTTTTAAATTTATTGATTTTATTACTGATATAAATTAAATTGTCCTCGTCACGATATGGCTGCAATATTGCTGATGTGACACTACAAAATAACTCATTCACTCACTCAACGTTATCGCAATCACATGGCAATATGTAAAAAGCATGCCTATATTTCTCTCAATGACGAACAAAGTCATTAGCCAGCCTTGACTGACTGACTGACTGAGTTAGGTTTTACGCCGCTTTTAGCAATATTCCAGCAACATCACGGCGGGGGACACCAGAAATGGGCTTCACACTTTGTACCCATGTGGGGATTCGAACCCGGGTCTTCGGCGTGAAGAGCCAACGCTTTAACCATTAGGCTACCCCACCGCCCCTAGTCAGCCTTGAGGGTAAAAAGAACTGTATTTAGGAACCTTCTGTATTTCATGAAAATGCTGTATTAATTCATTCCTTAAGCAGAACGCCACCCAAAAGTTGAATAGACACGAGTACCTCCTTAAAAATAACCTGAATGTTTCATACCTCTATACTTGTTACTCCCATAATCTTTTTTTAAATATCTGATAGCATTTGTGTTGCATGAGTTACACATTATGACAAGCATTTATCTGCAGTCACGATTTGTCAGCCTATCCTGATAAGCTCGGTGTATCTTGAAGAAACACAGACGAATGAATCACACGACAGTGTCCATGTCCAAGGTCTCCTCATATATCGACATATAGCCTGAATTAAAACTGTTACATAAGTGTTACAGCAACATATTACGAAATACGTCTTATCTGCCAACCCTTCCTGCAAAGAGAAGACAATTGGTCAAAGCGTTCACTGGTCCCGCAGAAGGCCCGGGTTCCACTTCCTAGATGTGTACAACGTGTGGAACCCATTTCCGGTGATATTGCTGGAATATTGTTTAAAACGGCGTAAAAGATTACTCATTCCTGCGATAATTATGCACTAGTTTGCTAAGAAGAAAAATCATGGTGTCGACTCTTTTGAAAATCTGTTTAAGCATAACCTTATCTTTTAATTTCACAGATGTCACAGAGATGTCAGCGTTTATAGAACGAACGTGTTGTTGACTCACGATTCCAGTCTAAATTAGAATTTAAGTCTATTTTAGGTAAGTTCGTTGCTGCCTTTAACAAATAACGTCCTCTAAAAGATTACAGACACCAATGCAAGAACTTACTTTAAAAAGTACACAGTACCATCAACCAGTAGCATCAACATAAAACATATCAGCAGAGTGATCTCCCCTGGCTGCTTTGTAATGACCACGTGGTTTCTGAATAAAGCACCTTTTAAACATAAGTCCTTGTTTTAATACAAATCTAAGACTATTACACACATTGGGGACATTGACCGTATCTTGTTGATAACTGTCCTTTGTTTCAGAAACCGCCTTCAAAGAACTGACAACGAAATGCTCTACAAAGTATGTCATGAACGTCCAGACTGACGTATACACGTGCACGCATGTCAGTTTCATCAGATGGCATTCAGAAATGGAAAAAAGAAACCTTGACATGCTGTTTTGGAGTTAGTTTACTGAGTGCATATTACTGATCCAAACATGACATCATTGCTCAATTACAGTGAAATCATCACTTTACAAATTTCCAAAACAGGATTATCCAGAAAGTGTTGGTAAAACCACAGAGGACTATTAAAGCCACTTGGTCAGAGTAAAATGTCAGTATCTGGTGTGACCACCATGAGCATCGATAAAGGTTTGGCAGCAGTGAAGAAAGAAAGATGCGAAAGCTGTCTTCAGGAATGTTTTGATGCTCTTGCTGAAGTGCTGTGTGCAGTGTCTGAGGTGGCGGATTACGATCAGGAGTACCCCATAGATGTTCAGTGTGGGGACAAATGCGCTGATCGAGAAGGTCAAGGTAACAACTGAACAATGTTTTGGTGGTCCTGTCAAACACGTGCAACGTGAGGTCGAACATTGTCATGCTCCAAAGATCAACCTTTGACGTCGATGAATGGAACGACGTGACGTTGAACTGGTCTTCTGGCAAAAAATCTGGCTTCCCATATCCAATTGCACACTGTCTGGTCGAAGATTCGGCGCAGTCCTGGGTTTGGATTGTTGTGGATGATGCGGCCGTGGTGTTTGAACGAAGATGTCTCAACCGGATGTAGCGATCCAGGGCGGCGGTGGTAACTCTAGGTCGACCTGACCTGGTTCTGTCATTAACACTCCCAGTATTTTTGTATCGGGCCTATAGCTTTGAGATGGTCTGTCTGGACACGCTGAAGTGCCTTTACTTGTGACCTCATGCTGCGATGCCCGTCCTTGTAAACGGCTCATGGTGTCGTTGAGCTTCTGTCCGTCTTTTCATTCTCTTGTCGTCTATAGTGGCTTAAAGCAATGCATGTGGAGTACCATTGATGTGGCTTTGTAAAGCCTACAGTCATATGCTTCAGCTCAGGGTGATACACAATTTCTTGATGCACGTGCATTTCAGGTAGTGTGCGTTTTAGCGATTCACTACAGACATGAGTGTAACGTTACGTTTTTGTTCTACGTTTCTTTTTGCAAACGTTTTGTCGTCGGCAACCATTGGCCCACATGTTGGGATTCAGTAGGGAATGGTTTGTGCCAAATATTTTCCTAAAATTCAATTTTTTCCTATGTCAAGTTTCATTTCTTTAAAAAGTATATTATAATAATACCGGAACTGAACCATGTGAAGCCAACTGTTGAGACTTTCCAAAATTGATAGTGTGCTAAATATTTAACGTCAATGTTTCAGCCATATCGTGATCCACAAGTGATAAACGTTAATTGTGGTGTTTGTTCCTGTGCATAGAGCTAAGGTCACAGATCAGTTGAACTTAATCAACGTTGAGAGAGGAGAGGTCTTGGATGGGTGACCGTGTTTGGCCGCTTGACTAGAAAGTTTCTAGGACTTCAGTCCTGCCCCACAACGAAACACATATGGCGAGTGAGTTTCTTCAAAACACTCTCTGTTCACCCAGCATAAAATGGGTACCCGGTGGGATAAGTCATGTGACTATTAACCTTCTACCGCCTAAGAGGAAGCTTGGGTTAATAATCAACCTGCCACTTATTCATTCGTAGAATATGTGTGCTTTTACTTTATGGCTAAATTTGTCTTCAATCACCAATGGCTGAAGGGATGGTGTAAATCCAGCTAGGGTCCATGCAGGTAGCAAAGGTACTGTACGTAGCCATGGTCCCTAGTATGGTGATCTACCTTCAGTCTACCTGTCTATATTGATTTAATTTTACGCTAGCGTACTTGTTTTAAATTTATACAGCTGTGATACTCTAGTATTTTACTGTCCTTTGATGACAGGTTTTTATGTTCTAACATTTTTTATTTTCATATTGATATAAACTAGATTGTTCCAGTCACGATATGGCTGAAATATGGCCGATGTGACGCTAAATAATAACTCACTCACTCATTGGGTCAATAATCAGATTGTTAGCGCTATGAACATTCGCCTAGGGAATGAAGTTTTTTATATTTTTATTATTACAGCAACATCAGAGGGCTAATGTACTTGTTTAATCTCGTTTGTCTCCCCCAATTCAAACCGAACAAGGCATAAACTCTCATTGGCTAAAAAGACGTCGGACAATCCAATCTTGATAACTGTGAGCTATGTTTAGAACAGGTTAACAGATGGTTGTTTGCCCACACACAGGCATGTTATCGCTCTATATAATAGCTTATAAATTATATATGACACAAGTATAATTTCTGAAAATGATATTCCTAGGATATGTGGTGCACATTTTGTTGCTGGGACACACAGCCCTGTCTGACACGACCGTCACCATCTACAACGAATGGCTTTCCCAAGGGGGTAGAGTCCATTACGAATCCGACAGATGGAACAAACATAATGGGCTGGACCGACTCAATCTTATCCCTAACTGTAAAGCTCTTGGAACTCCATCAGGACGTTGGCTGAACAGAGACCTGAATGACCATTTTTTTGAAAATGTAAGTGCATCACTTAGGAAATCTATTAGACCACAATGTTGTACCCGGTAAGTGAACTGGTGTTGGTCAGATAGTAACAGGTGAGGTCTCGAGAGCTGACCTTAGTCAGTAAATTAAATCTCAATAACCGCCTGCTTCCGATTGGGATCCCCGGGTTTGAGTTTTTACATTTGTTGCCAAACAATGGACCAAGAGAGAAGCTGAACCAGTTACAGCCCACAGATCAGAGACGTTTAGATAAGACCATTTTCAGAGTTAAGAATGACGACCTCTGCCCAGCTTCACTTTAGTCAACTCTTTTACACTGGAATCTGAAGACACATACACATCTTGTTGTCTTTTATTTTGGAATCGAAAACTCTTAACTTCACACAAAGTTTATTTAAGACCTTTCTAAAGACAAGTAATATGACGACCTCTGCCCTAACCACCATTGCCAATTATCAACTATGATCTGACTCTGACTGTACACACCACGTTCATCTTTTGTTTGGATTCCAAAACTCTATAAAGTTCAGTTATTATATATCATGGTGGTCATTTTGTATTCCCTTTGCAGCATATGTAGCCACAGGAATAAAAACGAGAATGCATAGATAGATAAGTGTTTTTAACAGAATGTTACCATTATCTGTTATATGTGCAATCCCACATGCCCTCTCAGGATACTTCAGCTTGACAGACTTCAACAAGCAATATTAGAGCTGTCCGGGTTTGTGATTTTTTTTAAAATGATTCCCAATTCACTGATAAAGTTAAACTGATCTGACTTTTCTTCTGAAGATCTGGTGTTCATCATGCTAAAGTGAAAAGGCCCATCAAATATAAAATTGCATAGGTATTAAGTGTGAATGACAAAACCAGTGTCAAGTATTGTAATGTATTGTAAATTCAGGAATTTAATATACATTCTACCATGACTTAAGTTAATACTGGATTGTGATTGGTTAATTAAAGTCATTCAGGGGTATATAACCACGTTTATATACCTCTGATTTTCCAACACAGTATGTTTATCTCCTAATTATATACATCAACGTCCACTAGTGGCCAGAGAATCCAAGCCACCGAGGCTATCCGAAGCCCAGCTATGCACAAGACCACGCACTGCAGTCGAAAATATGGAGGACATACATGGCACAGCGGAATGGGTACGGCAGTGGTGTTGATAACTTGGTCTGGGAAATCAGTGGTGAGTCGGAACTCAGACATGTTAATGGTCCTTTGGATGATATTATAAGTTGTATGCTTCTCTCGAGGGTAATACGGTCTGATGTACGCCTACAGGCTCGGGTGACACTGCTACAAAGAGGCGTACATCAGACCGTATTACCCGAGGGAGAAGCATACAACGTATTTATCTTACCGCCATGTTAAATGTACAAAATATCATTTTATTTTATGCTAAAGGTCGCTACCGACTATATGACATGCAAACAAAATGGCGTCTGCCTCTCGACTGGATTTTTCACGTCTTAACGCCTTAACCACTGGGCTACCGCCCCGTTTTTGTATCAATTGTTTTTCCGGGTCACCCTCCAGATCTTCCTATGTATAAAGTATTTCAGTTGTGCAACAGTTTACAGCTAAACAATTTCTAAGTATCTCAATTCTGAGAGGTTTACTCTTGAAGTATTGACAAACCGAGAAATATTTTTATATCAATGTTAATTTCATATACAGCCAGTATAACTCCAAATTTCAAGAACAACACATCTGACGCACTAAAATAGACTTCGTCCCATTATGCTAACTCTGCACCTGGTTCATGTTGAAGGAATATTGTTTCAAACAGGTACACACTGGCCCAAGTGGATGGACAGATCTCAGCATCAGGGCCAGTTTCCAAATAATCTGGACGCTGCATCAGAGTTTGTGTCGCTGATGGTTCAGAGTGCCAAGGATTTCACAGGTGGCCACATCCCCAACATATTTGAAGTCATCAACGAACCAAATTCTGACTGGCAGTTCCTGTCTGACAAGACTGTAGTTGACTTCCATCGCCTTGTTGCCCAGAAGCTGAAGTCTCGCTTTGGAATGAAGGTAGGAGGACCCACTTATAATGGATACCGCCTTCAGATGGCCGATGTTGACAATTTCCGTTTGTGGAAGAAAACAGCCGAGTTTCTGGACATGTCTTTGGACCATCTGGACTTCTTCTCTTTCCATGCTTACAATGACCTGCGTGTTTCAGGGGGAAATCACCGCTTCACTGGCTTCAATGAGGCTCGATTTGTTGCTGCAGTTGACATGGTAGAAAATTATTCGCATATCAAGAAGGGTAAAAACGTTCCCATCATTATCAGTGAGTTTGGAAGGGACCGGGTTATGGGCATAGACCAATGGTCCCCCAGCGGCCTGATAGATTTTTCAACTATATACCAACCAAATGGTTATATGTTCACCTTCCTTAACCTCAGAGAGTTCATAGATAGGGCCATTGTGTTTATATTGTCCAATGAGCAATATCCAGGGCACACCAGCCTCAACTGGTCCTTGTTCACTGGTGATGGTCACGAGACTGAAATGACCAAATTCTTCAAGTTCTGGAAATACATGTACAATAATCAGAAGTTCCTTAGGGTCACCAGCGAGTATTCGGGGTGGCAGAGACAGGTGGCTTCTCTGGCTCTGGCTGATTCGAACAACAAGGAAATGACGATCCTACTCCACAACTATGGCACCTCTTCGCAGAACGTCAAGCTGGATTTCAAGAACGGGTGGATTAATCCAACATCTGGTGAATCAACGTGTATTCAGTACGAAAACGGGAAGCCCGCAATGCATTCTAATGTCCATTTTTCCATCAGCGGGAAGGTTAGCCTCACTGGGGAATCTACCTGCTTATACAAGTTCAAAACAAGCTACAACTTCGGAAGCGTGAGGACCAACAATGAGAACACCTACTACGGTAAGAACATGATCATCCCAATCAACAACGGCCAAGCACAGACCACAATCAGTGTACCAGGCTCTGGCTACCATTCTGCACTGTTGAGAGTTGGGGTGACTCGCAATAAGAACGCAAATGGCAAACCCCTCGGCGTCACGTTCAACGGGTTTAAACTACCATCCACATACATGTTGTTCGACGCTGATAACCCTGACGCTAAAACGCAGTGGCAGGTTTGGGAGTTCTGGGTTCCGGAAAGTCGGGTACAGTCTACAAACACTATCGCCATGACATTCGCAGGGAATGGAGGAGAGGTGACGTCTGTGGCATTGGTTGCAGGCAAACTTCAATAAACCGATTATCATATCCGAGTGTCTTGTGTTATATATAACAAATGAGCGACCCCGCTGGGGCCTATGCTGGTAGAGACCTGTGAAGATCCGGTCTGGAATTGGCCTTCAGCAACCAATGATTCGTAAGAGGCGACTAATCGAGGGATCAGGCTGGCTGACTTGGTTGGCACATGTCGTATCCCAATTTCGTAGATCGATGCCCATGCTGTTGATCACTGGAATAACTGGTCCAGATTCGATTAATTACAGACTGCCGCCATATAGCTGGAATATTGCTGAGTGCGGCGTAAAATTAAACTCACTCACTCCATGCTGGTAGCGAAAGTACTTCAAGTCCCCATGGTCTCTAGTATGTCGGGGTAGCCTAGTAGTTAAAGCGTCCGCTCGTCACGCTGAAGACTGGGGTTCGTTTCCCCACATGGGTACACTGTGTGAAGCCCATTCCAGGTGTTCCCTGCCGTGATATTGCTGGAATACTGTTATAAACTCACTCAGTCCTTCTCCTGCTAGTACCCAGCTTAAAATAACATCAATACTCACAAAGTTGGAGCTGTAATTCATCGAATATTCGACAAAGGTTTGAGTCCTGACACATGCTACCTGTTGTCAGCTATTATCTCTGCTTTAGACAACGGTTCCTCTCTGAGTCACTGATCGGGTGGTGAGATTCAAGTTTTGAAGTTCATCTTCTTGTCGTATTTTAATTTAAAGTTCATTTAGTAGAATAATATTAAATGTCATCACGAGAGGACAGCCAGATTAGATCTGCGGCTGAAACAAATTCCATTATGTGCAAAAGTCAAAATAGTGGTGAAAGTCATTTGACGGGATGATTGAAACTTTGTGTGGTTTGCGAAAATGATCAGGTTAGGACAAGAATTACTTACAAAGTACATGTGTACATTGTTATGCAAGTGGTCCCAGAAAAGTATAATATATTTTGTGTTTTTATACCTTCGATGACAGACATTGCGCTGTTGCTTCTGCAAATGTATACTGGAAGAAGCGTCGTAAAATGATAAAGCTGTTCTCTCTTTCTCATGGTGCGTCCGTCACCAGACAACTTATATAGATGAAATGGTTGCCACCTTGATGGTGTCGAAATTTTGTGGTTAGTGATACTGAACTCACGGTACTCGACCAGATACACTTTTCACTGGTTCTCTGAAGTTGGTGAGCTAACTCTGGATGAACCAATATATTGCAGAATCTGAACCATATCGCTATATCCATATCGCGAGATACTGTACCGGTATATATCGGTTTACAGGTAATATTGCACAGCCCTAGAGCAACCTCATGCACAGAAACTGCCAGAGATGCTAGGATTTGTTGGACACACACAATGCCTCTGAGAAAGTTCTGAATTTACACACGGATGGATTATTATACTAAGTCTTATATTTAGGTACATAAACCATTTAGAATGTTTTACTTTACTGGACACAACAAACCTTTACCTTTAAATAGATAAAAGATAATTATATTATATATACAATAAAAACGGGCTGAAGACAGTGTTTGCCCTTAACCCTGAAAAGCTGCAGGCCCTAAGGACCTAGAGCCATAAAAAGATCAAAATGTGTAGGCCCTATATTTTAGCTACAATAAAGTAATTCCTGGCAAACAAGGCCATAAGGACCTACAGAAAACAAAAGTTGTTGGTCCGAGTGGTTTTCGGTTGGCTTCAGGCCTAAGGGCCGACGTTAATTTCGAACGCTGGCTGAAGATGCAAACAACTGGAACCACGAGGTGCTTGCACATATCCACTACAGCTGACTTATCCAACTATCTCTGCCAGGAAGGTACATCATTGTTACGCATTTGCTGACTGACATAGCGCCTACACACAGAAGTTAACATTATACTGACGTAAGATCTTTCTCACTCCATGGACCCGTGAAGATCCTGACTACAGTTGGCCTTCGAATAGTGAAGCTCTTCACCTGATGCTTTCCTCCGCCTTTACTTGTGTTGACTTTGTCCTTAAATATGTCCTGTGACTATTAGGGTTAGAGGTGAGGTGAGGTGATATGGGGTTTAACGTCGTGCTTGAGAATATTTCGCTCATATGACGACGTGCATGCGTGTGTATGTGTATGTGCGGCTGCTTGTACTAGCCCAGACTTAAGCTGGTTTTATAGTGCTAGCCCACTGAGATACCATGCCGCAGTGAAGCATGAATACCCCACTCAGACACATTATACTGACTCCGAGCCGACCAGTCCTTGTTGTACCAATTAATGCCGAGTGCCAGGCAGGGACCAACAAGTACCATATTTTAACGTCTTTTGGTATGACGCGGTCGGGGTTAGAACTGGTCTTAGCAACCCAAGCTTGTAAGAAGCGACTAACGGGATCGGGTGGTCAGGCTCGCTCACTTGGTTGACACATGTCATCGTATCCCAATTGTGTAGAACGATGCTAATACTGTTGATCACTGGATCGTCTGGTCCAGAATATTGCTGAGTGCGGCGTTGAACAACCAACCAACCAAAATCTCACTCCATAAAAAACTTTTTCTGGTGTCCCCCGCCGTGATAATGCTAGAATATTCCTGAAATCGGCATTAAATCACACCCAATCACTCACTCACTCACAAAACATGACATAGCCTAATGTTCTATCAACCAGCTTTGATGTGTTTGTGAGTTGTAGATCGAGCAAAACTAAACTGATTCGCAATTCGTGACGGTGTGCCATTAACCCTAAATTGACGAAACGCGTTTGAATGTGTCTGTACGTAAACCCCGGTAATTATTTCACTGTTAATATGTCTATCCATGATTGACAATTAATAGCAAATACATCAGCTTCAAGAAAATATTCAACTAGTTGGGTTGGGTTGGGTTGGGTTGGGCTTTACGTCACATCGGCATTATTCCAGCCATATAGTGACGTGATCTGCATTCACAAACATTTTAAGTAAAAATCCAAATGAGTTCTATTTCAAAAACATATATATTCATCACATTATTATTTAAAACAAAAAAATGTCATAACACAAGTTCAAAAGCAAGCAATGCTTTATTCACATTTCATAGTTACAATTTATGATACAGGTCAACTTCCCTCAAGTAGTTAACAATGAAATGCCCGCTCATGCGAGAAAACAGATCTTTCAGATTTGTCGCATCATAATGGGAATCCCTTGCAGTCGACAAGTCCACACAGTCAAGCAGAATATGCTGGATGGTTAACCCTTCTCCCACACACATGGAGGGTCCATCCCGTCAGTTTTTTCATGAGTAAACCGACTGTGGCCAATACGACATAGTCATAGAACTACCAGTAGTCATAGAACTACCTCATCACGTCTTGACTGACAACCCAAGTAGGTATAACCAATTGTTGGCTTCAGTTCATGAAGTTTATTTCTACCTACTTGGGTGTCCCACCTTTTTATTCACCTAGTTAACATTGTAAACAACATATTACTGATTGGAAGTCATGTATGCTTGACAATAAATAGTTAATATATCAACTTTAACAGGACGCGTTTATGTACGTGTGACATGGAAATTCTACCATACCCTTGTATTTTATGCCGCATGTACACGACATCAGTAATAAATCTGTAGTGAAATGTAAATGTTGAACTTAAATTGTACATGATATTATTTCTTTCATAGAGATTATTACACTCGCAATTGTGTCATACGACTTATACGAAACGAGTGTGAAATTTTGTATTGCCCGAGCGAGAACACAATTTTGCACGAGTTTCGTATAAGTCGTTTGGCACACTTGCGAGTGTAATAATTTTCTTTATTATCCATTTTATTCGTGAACATTTGTGCAGTAAATTACGGAAAGCAAGTGTGACTGCCATGTTCATTGACGTCACGTTCAATTGTTTTATGACGTCACAGACGACGAAATAGAGAAACAATGGTTGCTAGGGAAAAGTGATATGTGCACATGTGAATATATGATATATATGACACTGGTTATGTTTCACCATATGGATAATAAAAAATGCTTATCGAACAAGCGATCCAGCATTTATGACATGGAAATGGGAAATAACAGACTTAAATGAAAAAAAAAATTTTAACAGAACTCACCTAGTTAATATCGTAAACAAGTCATTGGTGTTTGAAAGTTACTTATTGATCATATTTCCCTTCTGTCCTCATAGGTTATATCACATACATTGAAAGGCTACAATAATACTCAAACCCGATAATAGTATAGCCCAGAATAGAACGTGGGTATGTGTACAAGTATGTATCGCCGTCAGTGTTCGAAATATACATCTCCCGCGAGGCCAAGTTTCAACAGGTTCTTACAGTGTGTGTTAAGCTGTAAACACAGAAAACGAATCGTAACACCCATCGCCCTTAAAGGTACGTCGCTCGGTAAGCAATTACACTGACCGGGAACTTACAAACGGGAAGGGGCGGTGGGTAGTCTAATGGTTAGAGCGTTCGCTCTTCACGCCGAAGACCCGAGTTCGATTCCCCACATGGGTACAATACGTGAAGCCCATTTCTGGTGTCCCCCGCCGTGATATTGCTGGAATATTGCTAAAGCGGCGTGAAACTAAACTCACTCACTACAGACGGGAAACAGAGTACAGTTTTGAGACCAGTTTAGTTGCGCTCTACGCAGTTCAGGAGGTATCAACTAGGGCTGGGACGGGTACTCGGGTACTCGAATCCGGGTCGGGTACAGCTGGAATCGAGTCCTATTTCTTGGAATCGAGTACCCGGAAAAGGAGAGAACTCTGTAATGACAAGGGCAGGTAATAACTTGTCTTTTTCATAATTGACGCAACACTCATTTACATCATTGGTATTGTCCGATTAATTGGGGTTATTATTAACGAGTGTAATTTATCTGCGCATGAGCAGTGAGTAGTGAAAGTGATAAATGTAAATAATGGTGTTACTCTTTATGTTGGTTTAACAGGTGTAAATTAAATAGCCTAAGACCTGTTTTAATGTCTTATTGCCATCCTTTCGAGTTTTCTATAATAATCTCTGTCAACTCGTGATTGAATATTCAGAGAG